TTTCTCCTGACAGGTAACGTGGCACAGGGCAGGGGATGGATCACTGGATGCCCACAAGCAGGTGAGGGAAAATGCAAAGAGGAATGGAGAACATCTGTTTCCTTCTGTTGCTGCTCTCCCTCCACAAGGATGTTGTGCTGCACGAGTGAAAACCGTTTGATGGACAAGGCTGTGGTAAAATCTTGAACAGCCTCCTGCTAATATGTCGGCATGAGATTTTTTGCCATGGATTTCAGTGCAGCACAAGCTTTTCTCTGGAAGCAGAAGGTGCACTTTGTGCAGGGCAAATGGAAATGACTGGAACTTGCACTGTGGTTCCAGTAAGCTGCTGTAAGGCCATTAAAGCCCAGTGCCTGCTAACGCTGCCTTCAGAGAGGAGGCAGTGCAAAGCTGGGATAAAACCAGCCCATTTCCCCCTCCTGCCACATCACCAGTGTTTGTGGAGCCTGATTTTACTCAAGGGTAGCCAGAGGTTTTAATGAGTTGCTCTCCTGGGTCTGCCTTGCTATTTAACACGACAGAATTGCAAATCATATCGATAAGAAATCTGCTAAGCTATTCTGAACAGCTTATGGAATGGGCCCCTGCTGTGCAGCCTGGAAACAAGCATTTTGCCCAGCTCCTCCCCTCCCAGGATCCAGCTATGGATTTGGCCTAACATTACATCCCCCAAGCCACTAGCCACATTATTTTAATTTAATTTAAGAAAGGCTACAAATAGGTCAGAAGAAACTAAGGGAATTAGCAGTTCAAATCAAAATGAAAATCAATTGAGAGCCACATTCTCACTTGGCAGCTCTCTCCTAGTCCTTCCATAGGCCCTCCAGCCTCTGAATCAATTTTCTGCATGTCTGAATCTTCTTAAAAGTGATGTCACCCTTCAGATGATGTCATCTGTGCCCAGTTCTTACTGGGACCTGGGAAGATGCATTCCCTCCATTCTAAAGCTTCTCTGTAATAGGGAAATTCAAGGGAAGAAAAGGGCAGCATTCAGGCAAGTTTGCAAGTTTTCACTGGCATAATAGTTTGAAAATCACCAAATTGTCCTTTTCTTCAGGTTTCAGTGGCAAAAACTAAAAGTTGTAACTTTTTTTCTGACAAAAACCTGAAAAAATTCTCACTTATGATAACCTTATCATTGTGATATATATCAAAACCAGAGAGTTCCTTTCCTTCCCATCAAAATCTCTCACATAGATTCTGAAATCAAGATATTTTGGTTACCTTAGACTATGTGCTATTTGGAAACCAACTCATAGGAGCAGGATTGTGTTGCTCCAATAAATGTTCCCTGTTCATAAGTCAAACTAGTTTGATCTCAAATGTAGGTTACAGCATCCTGGCACCAAACACGGGGGGAGATACCAGGAAAAGCTCAGCAAATTGCTCTTAAGAAACAAAATATTCAATCACTTCTGCCTATGACAACCTGAAGAGTTGCTTTTTTTGTCTAACACTCCCAATCTGACCTGGATGGCTCAGTTTGATTGAGTCCATGGTATTTCTGCCTCTATTCTTTCTGCCAGGTGACCCTGGGACAAGGTTTGTAGGATGCACCTGTCTGGAGTCTGTATCCTCTGCACAGTTTCCCAGAGCCAGCAGTGTGAAGGCCCTGTGACAATGTGCCTCCAGGTCCACATGGCCAAGGGCTACTTGACCAACCCTGATTCCCTGAGGAGCTGTTGGAGTGGTTCACAGGCTGAGATGATTAGAGCTTCCCTGGGCAGGGACAAGGCAAGACTGGATCAGCCCTGCCTGGTCTGACCCTGCAGTAGATCCCCACACCCCAAGCACACCAGCTCTCCTGCACCTCTGCTCCTGGCCTTGGTGACTCCCAGACACTGAAGCTGATCCAACACTGAGGCTCCAGCCCGTGTGAGCTGCCTGCCTACACTGCAATCACGCTTCCTACTGCAGGGGAGATACAGCACACACTTCAAAAAGACTCTATTTATATTCTGCCCTACTGGTAAATTCATTCGTGGGACCACTCATGCAAAATGGATAATGCAAATGAAACTGCTACATTTGGAATTAAGCTTATTTTTATACTCCAGTGAACACGAGTGCATTAGATTGTTTTTCTTCTTTTTTTTCTTTTCTTTTCTTTTCTCTTTAGGTTGTTTGCCCAGCTGTAGTCCCCAGAGCGCTGCTTTGAGATCTGGGGGAGGATGTCAGAGCACTGTGCTGCTGAGCCAGAATGGTGCAGGCACTTCAAACCTCTGGCTCTGGAGCCCACAGACTCCTGACTAGCACTGATCTGGAACTGATGAGTGCCTGGCTGCTGTACAGCATTGCAGCCTTCACGAGGGCTGCTCTCTGCTCACTGCAGGGGGAGTGATAAATTCATGCAGAGCATGGACAATTGCAGGGAAGGAGACAGAGAGGTTCACTGGGAACTCAGGAAGTGACCATTCATCCTTGTACTCACTCCCAGTAACACTAATGCACAGATATAATGTTCTAGGGCTGAGTAAGGACATTAACACCTCTGTGTGCACTGAGTCCCCCTCAGGCTTACCTGGTCATATGCAAAGAGCCTGAGAGAAGGATACTACCTAGCTGATGAGACAGAGTGGGTTAGTGGGGGGACCAAAGGAGAACAGAAGTTTTCAGCAACTCCTCTTCCAACAAGTCCCTCTCCTTCTTTACCTCTGCACAGCAACCTGCCCCTCATATACACCCAGAGTAAGTCCAACAGTGCTCCCTCCTACAGGAATTAACACTTCCAGATCACCACTGATCTGTGCAGTGAGGAGAGATTAATGTGGACTTTCAGACACAGATCATCTGTAGGCACTTCAGAATCAGAGGAAGAAAGGACTGCCAGTGTGGTTCCAGGGAGCACAACTCCCACGCAAAGATGAAGCAGCACTTCTCTTCCCTGTCTCCCCGCTGCTTTGTAGCAGGCACTGCACCAATGACCAGGGATCACCCCTTCCCTCTGCTTCCCTCCCCCATGTGGGAAGGTGGAAATCCTCCCAGTATCAGACTCTCTCCAGGAAACTGCTGCTTGGGTCGAGCCCTGTTTGACAAAGAGACTATCATGTTTGCTGTGCTGGGCTCTGCAGTGCATAACAGAGTCTGCATGGCAGTCCCAAACTGCAATCCAGCACCAGCTGTCCCTTCCCCTGCAGCACTGCACTGCTCCAGGCACTCTGTTGCCCAGGAGGGTCCGGAGTGCACGGGCTGCGCTGTCCCTGGTACCCGGGAGAGTGGCAGGAGGGGACAGTGCCCATGGGTTTGTACTGTGAGACTGAAATCAGAAATGGCTGCTCAGGCAAACTGTGAGAAGCAAGAGAGGGAAAGGCACTGATTTGCTTTCATTTCATCATTTTGAAAAAACAAATTCCATACAATCAACAGCAAATAGATTTAAATCCTCTTCAACTACTTCATGGAATGGCAGTCAAGGGGCAGAGACAAGCAAGCAAGGAGCTCTGCACTGCTGTGACTGCACGTAAATCTGTGTGAAGGAGGTACTTCAACAGCCTAAGTCACAACTCACCTTTCCTCACTCTTGGATTAGAGGACAGACAAGCAATGCAACCAAGGGACAGGACAACAGAACTGGAGATATTTCATGCTCTGCTCAGCCTCTGACTTACTGAGTCACACCGGGAAGGACACTTTGCTTTATTCATCTCCATCTCTCTGTGCACTTCCTGCCTGCCTGTGCTAGGAAGCAAATGAACCTACAAGAGAATTCTTGAGGACTGTGGCTGTGTCTCCCCCAACAGCTGCACAGCACCTTGCACAGTGTCATGCCAGACCTCGGCGAGGTGATCTGCTCTGCTCTAAGTGAAGCAGTCACCAATGGTAGCACCCCAAAGCCGAAGCCTGCAATGTGTAAAGCATGCACCAGTGCTCTCCCCCTGAGCCTGCGATGCCGGGAGGAGGAGACGGTGCAGCTCTACCATGAATTAGTGCTCTGACAGCTCGGTGCACTCTAGCCATGGCTTGCATGGCTGCTTCCCCTTCACATCCCCAGGAGCATGCTCTGCATTAGATCATGCTCTGCATCAGGCTGTGCTCCAAAGCAGAAGAGAAAGTATGGGGAGGACAATGAAATTGCCTTGACCGGCTTTCCTTGTCCTGCAAATATGCTCCTATGTGTGGAGAAAGATGCAGGGAGCTCTCTCTGCTTTGGAGAGCATGGAGACAGGAAAAAATAACTCGGTTTTAAGCTACTTGCAAGACTATGGTTTCGCTCACATTATGCCTGACAACTCACCCTGCATCCTGGAACTTCCTGGGAACAGCACAGGGTTCAGGGTAGTGGGGATCTTGCTTTTCACCAGCCATTTATGTCTTTAAACAGACTCTATTTGTCTACAAATTGCTCTTCCTTCCTCTTCCCCTTAACATAGTGTCAGAGAATTTAGAAAGCAAGAAGGTTATAAATACATCACCATGCTTATCTCTTTACTCAAGAGATAAGCACACAGAAGAAGCAACTGCTTAGGTAAACAGATGCCACAGGTTCTGCAAATCAGCTGTCTCTAGACCTTTCCTCTGAGCTGTTTCTGGACTTTTTGGGCTCGGAGAGGGCAAGACTGCTGTCAGATTATTGCTCTTCTCACAGGCAGCTCTACAGCTACACACTTCCTGCAAGGGGTCCACCTGTGCCTGCTCTCCTTCCAGCCCACACAGCACCCCCACAGATCATTTATATGACAATCCTCAGGCAGACAGCACAGTCTCAAGTGACTGAGCAACAATATGCAGAAGGCCCTCTTGGGAAGCTGCTAAAAACAAAGCATTAGGCTCCAGACACGATTCTTTAGCATTCAGACTGGCATAAAGGAGGAGAATGGGCACTCAGAGAAAGCACTTTGGTGAGAAAACATTCAGAATGTAGGTGCCTGAGGCTCTGCTCACCTCCTCCCACTGGTGGATGTAGCGGATGAGCCGGGAGAGCCGCAGCAGCCGCAGCAGGCTGAGGATCTTGGTGAAGCGCACGATGCGCAGAGCTCGCGCCGTCTTGTACACCTCGGAATCGATGCGCGTTTCCACGATCAGGAAGATATAGTCCACGGGGATGGAGGAGATAAAATCCACCACAAACCAGCTCTTCAGGTACTTCATCTTGATCCTCTGTGGGTCTAGGATGATCTCAGTGTTGTCCTCCACCACAATGCCTGTTCGGAAGTTGAGGACAAGGTCGATGAGGAAGAACGTGTCCGAAACCACATTGAAGACAATCCATGGAGTAGTGTTTTCATCCTTGAAGAAAGTGATGCCCACAGGGATGATGATCAGGTTCCCTACCATCAGGAGCAGCATGGTCAAATCCCAGTAAAACCTGGACAACAAGACAGAGATGTGAAATCAGCTATGGAGTGGGAGATCAGGGAGCCTAGGCCAACACAACTAATGTGCCTTCTACACCTCTGCTGTCAGTCATCCCCTGTGCTCTGCTGTCTGCCTGATGCACACAGAGTGCACAAGCTGCTAATTAAGGAATTAATATCACAGGAACACTCATCTTCTGGCTTTGAGGGTTCAGGAAGGAATTGAGTACATGGCTGGGCCTGCCCACTTGAGAGCTTCGACTGGGATTTCACAGCTACCCAAAAAGGGACTCACACACCTGCAGTTACCACAACGACTGTTAGAGAGAGGGAGAGAGGAAGAACAAAAATTTGGAAGGCCACTGAGTCTGGATGTCAATAAAGCCATTTGAGGTTAATTCATCAGACTTGCTCCTACTGTCTGATCCTTCTTTAGAAGCAGCAAGCACTGATAGCATTGGGATTAGGCTGAAACTGGAGACTGGGCTGTGATCTACAGTGTTCAGATATCTTGCTAAGCCAAGCTTACACTGAGCCTGGACTTCAGAAGTGTAGTCCACACTCTATAGACTCCTGTGTAGTACAGAAACAATCAATAAAGCTTGGAATCATGTGCCTGGAAATATCTGCTTCATTTCTAGAGAAAATAACAACATTTAACCACTGTTCCATGAAGCACAGTCTCCAGGAAGCTTATCTTCACTTTAGTGGCAAGTCAATATTATCCAGTGGACCTTACAGTAACACTCATTTTTGTTCCATAGGCACATACAGTCTGAACATAGTTCCTAATTTATTTGGGATTTTTTGCAGATTTTCCTCAGCTATTAGTGTCAAAAGATACACAATCACACAATGGGTGACAAGTGACCCAGAGTGAGGACTACAAACTTTCCTGGGTCTCAGACTTTGTTGAGGAGCCTCACAACACAGTAGGGCTCCAGTCCCCTCCAAATGTTCCACATGTAGAGGTGATGATGTATTGTGGATTCACACTGCCAAGATTTCATTGTATACTAGGGGGCAGCTACCATGACATTGTGAGCTATGTCACAGCAGATGAGAAATCATCTCTAGCAGTGAAGGCAACAGAGTGACTCTGGACTAACAATGATTTAACAGAGGAAAGTATTGGGTTTGCTGAAGGACATGCACATGTTGCTTCTCTGTCTGATACATTACAGTCAAAATCACTGAAATGTTTCAGGAGAAATAGATTTGCTTTAAAGATCTTCAAACACTGATTTTGGTGAGGGGTGTTCAGCTGAAAGCTGGGCCTGGGACCAGAGTGAGCTGCTGCACAACAGGATCATTACAGTGAGGCAATGACACTGGTTTGGTAAACTCTCAGCAGGAAAAAAAATAAAAGCCTTGTCTGTACAGTCTCTCTCCCTGGTAAGAACACAACGCTTTACAGTCCCTAAAAGCATATTTAAGATGCCAGCTAGTGCACACGTACAGACAGGTCACAGCCAGCAGCACAGCAGCAATTCTCAGAACCGTTCGGCAGCAGCTGATGGGAACTGATTTCAGAATAAGCAAAGTTATTCACTAACGAGGTTTCTAAAAATGCCATCAACTCTCTCTCCTCCTCTCAAGGGGGCATGGGAGCACACACTCCGTCACTCAGGAGAAAGGTGCCTCAGACCTGGGAGCACTCAGCAAGGAGATCAGTCCATATGCTCCTGAGAGCAAGGCCGTGTCACACAGCAGTATGCATTAATACAAACCCATGTTGTGATCTTCCTTATTAAGGGCCTGAGATGATGCTGCAGCTTTCCCAGGCAATTAATCTAGATAATCACACAATAGCAGGAAGTCTGGAAGCAGTGTGTGCATTATTACCCAGAATAAATAACCTCCCAGCCATCTTTAATTTGCCTTAGGGGATACAGAAGGAGAGATGCATGAAGAAAATTACTTTTCCTAAGTTTCAAATTAATGGCATGAGACAGGCATGGCCAGGCTTGCTGAGATGGAAAGGTAAGTGGCTTTCTTCAGAGAGCTTTGGATTTTTGTGCCTCTTATTTTATCATTTCCATACTCAGTGGCAACTGGGGACTCTGACAACAGTGGCTGAGATGGCTCACAGTTAAAGTTTCACACACACACAAGCCCAGTGAAATGCTTTCTGCCTGACTGTAGCACTTTCAGCCTCTCAGAGCTGAGCATGGTCATACTAGGGGCAGCTGCCCTGCATCCTGATTTACAACATTTCTTTCCACTTCCAAGATCCTCAAACTCCCTTCTCACAGGCTCTTCACTCCCAGTCTGCTATTACTGCTGAGAATCATGGTTTGCAATGTGGGCAAGACAGATGAAGTGCTAAAATTCATTGCCATGTGTTTCTTAAGCTACAGCTCTCCTCAAGGGTGTACTAGTGACTCAAGATTATTGTCAATGGGCTCCCCTCAGTTCTGACCTTTAAAGCTACCACTTTTGTATCCAGTGCACCCCTGCTAATAAAAGGGCATCCAAGGTGTCAGGGGGGAGATAACCTTGGGAAACTGTAAGGGAGAGAGAAAAAGCTGAAAACCACAGATAATTTGAGCTGCACACCAATTCCAGCACCTGCCTTTACAGTGCAAACTTCCTAGAAGTTTACATTTTAGATTTTCATAGCTTCTGCACCTCTTTATTTTATCCACATATGAAGCCTGATCTGCTTAGGTTGGTATCACTAGATTTAGACTGAATAAACTCTCAGGGACCACATCACCTCAGAGGTCTAATACCATCCATGTGACATTCTGTATTTACACTGAGGAACATCTTTTCACTCCCTGTAAATTATTGGCCAGAATGACTAACGGTGCGTGTGATGTATGTAAGGGCAAGCACCAGCTATTAATAACCCATGTTTTCTGTATTTCTGTTGTTCCTTTCACCCAGGGATTCCACAGAGCTGACAGTGATGAAATTGGCTCTGCTGCACCCATGAGAGGCAGATAGAGTTATTACCCTTGTCTTGCAGATAGAGAAGCTGCATGGCAAAATTAAGAGCATGGGATTTGTCCATGGAAGTCTGAGGCTAAATAAAGGTTAGGACCTGAATTTGGTTCTTGAGTCTAACCACATCTGAAGCTATTCATATGGCTTGCAAAAGGGCTTAACAGAGATGCATCTCTGGGACATCTTCCTCTGATATCCTGACTTCTTCTCACTTCTCTTCCTGTTTTCAAAAGCCTACATAAAAAATTAATAAATATGAATGTATTGTTTTATTATGGTTGACTCAGTGCAACTGAGCAGCTCACAGCACAGGGAACAGCCAGCACTACATAAACCAGATGTCTTGTTCAAACACCCTTGGTTTCCATACTACATCCTATTTTCTGCATGCTGCTTGGATCTGAAAATCACTTTTTAGCATGCACCACTACCTCTGCTCTTTTAATTTCACATATATTATTTAAACAGAACGTGTCTGAGAATTAGTGTGGCAGTGGCACTTCAGGAATATCTGCTCCTCAAGCATAGCTGGTGTCACTCAGCTGATTTGATAGTCTGCACAGTTTGTAGGTATTAGTTTGTGGGTTTTGAACGTTAGATCATCTTCCTGTTCTGTCTAGTGCATACTGTAACAGCAGGCCAGGAATATTGCTTTTGGAAGTTGCTTTTTACATTAAATAAACCTCGATTTTTCAAAACTGTTCCCTGCTGCAGCATGATAAAGTACAGTGCATGAGCTGAGGAAGGATTGTGAGGACCTGGAGAGCAAACAGTGGCTCTCAGAGGTGAGAGGTTAGCTGTCTGGTCAGCATCACTGTGCCAGCATGGCACTCAAACCCTGCCCCTGAATGGGGCACATTTGTGGCCTCACCTTCTCTTCTGGCTCTGTAGTGTTTGCACTGTCAAGAGAAAATAGACTTGAGCAATCTCACCTCTAAATTAACAAAGCTTTTTGGATGTTTTCAGCTCTTGCTGAAAGGCAGCCAACTCTGGGTTGAACTGAGGTGCTGTCTCAAAGTGCAGCAAAAATAAAAATGTATCTAAGTGAACATGCCAGGGAGCCAGGATACTCACCCTAGCAATGGAATCGAGCTCAGACACCGGGGCCAACCTTCCTAACCTGATGAGAACAGCTCTTTAATGAACACAGCCTGTTCAAACCAAAACCAAAGACAAAGCCAGTTGCTGTCCCAAGGCTCGGTGCTGACTCCAGAAACAGAGTGCCACCTACTGAGTCCCAAATGGAATCTCCATCCTCTGCCTCGATGGGGAGGAATTGCTCCTTATTTCCTTTAAAGAGCTGATGAAAGCCTGCCCTTGCCTCCAGGGTGGCAGCTCCCTTCCCCTGCTCTGAATTGCAGGTTGAATCAGACACTGCTGTGCTCACCACAACTATCGTGACAGGAAAGAGCTGGTGCTGCAATTCCCAGGGTTGCTAGTTGGGCTAGAAATAGAAATCATCTTTTGTAAAGGGCATCAGTGCATGTCAGGCTGGCTGGAGCAGCAGTGGGAGGAAAGGTTACTCCAGAAAGCAGCCATTCACAGAGGTATCTGAGAGAGAAAAAGCAGAGAGGTCCTTCCTTGTCCTTGGAAGCATTGCATCTCCCAGAGAGGAGTAGGCGTATTTCTACCGGAGAGTTAACAAAGTTTGCCCTATTGCAGAGCTAATGGGAGGAACATGGTGATTCACTGCTCCCATACACACTAAAGGACTCTCAAGCTACCGTGTCCAAGAACAATTATGAGAAGAATTCATGTATTTACAGGGAGCTATTCAAATACCTGTGCACTTGAAAACCTCTTTGCCAGGAATACCCACCAAAAAATCAGTCGAATGGCTTACAAAAATATTCTGCATGCCCTGAAATGGGAAACGATTAGGGCACCAGGCTAAAGGAGAAGACAAACAGTTTTAATTCCTTCTGACCGGTCTATGCAAATAATATGTACCCTCTGCCATCCTGGATAAACCTCCTGAGAGCACTGCTAATTAGCCATGCACTACGACAGCACAAGAGAAGAGCTCTGCTGTGTCCCAGCCTCCTCTAGAATTCCCTGG